ATGTTATATTAGAATTATAAAACTGTGTTGGAACTGATGGATCCTTATTTTTAATATATTACAGAGGCTTTGTTTGTTTTTGTTTTTTTTAATTATGCACAAAGCTACACAAGGGCTATCTGTGCTCTGCCCACCACGGGTATCGAAACCCGGTTTCTAGCGTTGTAAGTCCGCAGACATACCGCTGTGCCACTGGGGGGGCATTACAGAGGCGCCAGAGGTTTTTGAACCACGGGTTATAACAGGAAAATATCCTCCTAATGGCTCAGCGATAAGTCTGGAGGCTTACAAGGCTAAAATATGGGTTTCGATATCCATGTTAGGCACAGCACGGATATCCCGTTGTGTGGTTTTGTGTTTAACTACAAACAAACAGGAAAATAAACACTTTGAAAAAAGTTATCAGTTTTGTGTTTTCTCAACAGATGGCAGTAAATTCACAAGTTCTAAATTAATATATTGTTCGATTGAGAAAGAAAGTCGGTTTTAATTTGTGCAAAGAATAATTTATCACAGTTTTCCTCATATTCATAGAAATGCATTTGACACATTCATCGTAATAAAAATTACAACAGAAAATCTCAACAAGGACGAAGAATACAATCTCATCGGATATAATGTATTTACAAGCTTGTTTGTTTGAAGTTAAGCACAAAACTACACAATCACAATAGGCTATCTGTGCACCTCCAACCACAGGTATCAAAACCCAGTTTCTGGCGTTGTAACTCCGCGAACATACCGCTGTGCCACTAGGGGGCTTTTACTAGCTATTATTTATTATTGATTTTATTTAATTAACTATTATCATTGTTTTCATGACCTTTAATACTCCTTAAGTAACATTTATTTAATTTAATTAACTATTATTATTGTATTCATGGCCTTTAATGCTCCTAAAGTAACCTTTATTTTATTTAATTAACTATTATCATTGTTTTCATGGCCTTTAATGCTCCTAAAGTAACATTTATTTTATTTAATTAACTATTATCATTGTTATTATGGCCTTTAATGCTCCTAAAGTAACATTTATTTTATTTAATTAACTATTATCATTGTTATTATGGCCTTTAATGTTCCTAAAGTAACATTTATTTTATTTAATCTAACTATTATCATTGCTTTTCATGGCCTTTAATACCCCTAAAGTAACATTTATTTTATTTAATTAACTATTATCATTGTATTCATGGCCTTTAATACTCCCAAAGTAACATTTTCGTACTGTTGCTATAGGATGTTATTTCGAAATAGAATAAATGATTTGAAATTACAAGATATTAACTGGAACAATTGAATCTGTGAAACACGTTAAATTTAATATGCTTTTCTTTGTGTAAAGTCCCCTGGTGGGACAGCGGGAAGTTTACAGACTTACAACGCAGTAGATAACCTGATGTGATTTTTCTCTAAAACAGCCAACCACCTTTCTGTAAAACACAAATATATTTTGAACCTAAACATCATGTATAAGCTGTTCTTTATTTTATATTATATTTTTGTTAGGCACAAAGCTAAACAATGGACTATCTGTGCTGTGCCTAGCATAAGGTGATTCACGAATTTTAATGTAATAAGCCCTTGAGCTGTCCGCTGAATCACCTAGGGACTAAGTGTGCTGTGCGAGCGTACACCTTCGTCGTGAAATATATTATCGAATACATTATTTTTGATGTTGTTTCATTAAAGTACCTGTATGTACAGCTACTGCATGTTTTGAGAATAAATTAAAAGAGGACAAGAATTCAACTTCCGACATAACTGATAACAAGAGGGAATTCTCAATACCCGCGGCTGTAATTAATTAGATCTCAAATCGCTCAAGAGATGGAGCTATGAGCTAAACATTTGTACTAAAAAAAAAACACCTCAGAACCATTTTATGAGTCGCTATGCCGCGGCTAAAAATAATTCTGTTGAAATATGTGTTAAAATGAATTTTGTTTGTCAAATTATTAAGAGTAAAGTTTATAAACAGAAACAAGGTTTAGCTGTGGATTTTCCATTACTGCTAAAACAGACCACTTGGTCTTTGTATAACATCATTTATGCTACAGTGATATATTCTAAAGGAAATCACCTTGGTGACTCGTGCAGTCCCGTGAATAACGAAGACAAGAAAACTGTGGTAGTTCCCTTGACCGATATTCTATACTAAAATAAACGCCCCCTCCAGTGGCACAGCGGTATGTCTGCGGACTTACAACGAAAGTTATAATGGCAGTTGTTCCATATGTAACTAAAGTTCCAAATATACTTTTAATATCATGCATTTTATACCTCCTTTAGCTGCTACATAATTTTTTCAGGGTTTATTTCAGTTTGTTTGTTTGAAGTTAAGCACAAAGCTACACGATGGGCTATCTATGCTCTGCCCACCACGGGTATCGAAACCCGGATTCTAAATAAAATATAACCATTTATTATAGGACAAAACTCAAAGGATTCAAATCCACACAGAATGATGTGAAAGTTGTAACAACTAGGGTCATCAAAGTATGAAAAATCAACTATTATTTGCATATGTTACACAACTGGTATGATAACTGTAACTTCTAAAGACCAATTAAAAGGTAAAACAAAAAAAGCATTACACCACATGGACGGTAGTGTGTTTTGTAACATAAATTGTGAAAATAACAGCAGATCACAACTAAACAAGTTTATTTATACTTGCAAGTTGTGAAAATTATAATATTTGAAACCAAATCAAAGGATATTAAACAAAATATCTGTTTATATCATATAATATTGGATTTGGCTACCTTTCTCAATGATAATAATTAGAGTCTTGTTTAGTAGATCATTTCGCAAAAATTATGGTCTGCAGTTGGTTCACAAGTTTCAAAAGAGGATTATAATGGCAGTTGTTCCATATGTAACTCTATCTTCGATGACGAGGAACCCACTTTGAGACTAATAATGGCTGGAGACGGCTTAAATGGGTAATGAAGAAAAACTTTAATATAAGCTTAACATGACAGCAAATGTACAACGTTTCGACAAGGTTTTGTCATCATCAGGTACCACTATCTTTTAAAATGTTTTTATAATGAGGTAAATTCAGTTGTTGCACAGTCTTCTTTAAAAAGTGTCATGCATTTGATGCAGTGACTATTTCATTACTTATGTATATTCTGTGATTTGCTTTCTGGATCTCACATTTTGAAAATCCCGGATCTGTGTGATTTATAAACTGTAATTGAGGTTTGGTTTTGTAGAAATTGGGAAAGATTTTCTCATGCCGCCTTAGAAAGCGTTAAGCTGTGATTTATGGCCATTTGTTTTTGGAAGAAGTGAAATATATATGTTTATGGTTGTTTTATTTTATGACAAGCTAGAAAAGGGTTTAAGTTTAATATCGTGATAAGCTTTACGGTTGAATAGTCTGACAGGTGCTTTCCTTAAAGAAATGTTGAACCATC